TCTTCTCGCGGTGGCAACAGGAACTTTTCAGGACACAAAGGGATAGGAACACCACCATCAGGATTGCTCGACTCCCACAAGTAAGTGATAGGCCGGTGGTTGATGACTTTCTCCACCTCGGTTAGAGCGGGTTCTAATTCCTCCCAGGAAAGCACATCATGGCCCAACAAGCGACGTAGCAGGCCTTTAACAATGCCCACTAACCTCTCCCAGGCTCCTCCCCACCAAGGTCCACGTTCCACCACAAATTGCCACTTCATGTCAAGATTCTTCTCTTTAGCCCACTTAGCTGCCGCCACAAAGTTTGATCCGTGATCACTTATGCACAACTGTGGGACACCTCTTCTGTTCATAAATCTCTGCAGTGCCTGAGTCAACGTTTCTACAGACAACGACGTCACAAGTTCCAAATGAATGGCTCTAACTGACATGCAGCTAAATACTACGAACCAGACCTTGCTGTTATCCTTCAGGCATAACGGTCCTCCTAGATCCATGCCAGTTGTTTCAAAGGGACGCTTGCAAGTTATACGACACCTAGGGAAAGGAGGTGTCTGTTCAGATGCAGGAGCCGCCAAGAACCTGCTACATTTCCCGCACTTCCGTATCACTGATGAGACTGATTTCTTAGAGCGCAGGATCCAAATCCCTTGGCGTCTCAGTTCTGAAATAACTGTTGCAGTACCGGCGTGTTGCATTTGTTCGTGAATATGAAACACCAATTGGTTGACAACACCACACTTATTAACCAGCACTGGATGGAGTTCCTCAAAGGTCGCTTCCACTTGTTGCAAACGAACCCCCATCCTGATTAATCCTCCTTCCAAGAACGGGTGTAAGGACCGCAGACTAGACTGGCGATAAACTGGTTGGCTATTTTCCATTGACTCTAATTCCGTCCAGAAAAACTTCCTTTGCACTTGTTTCAGGATGACCATTTTGGCATATTGCAACTCTTCTGAGGTCAGCATATTTTGGGTGTTTTTAGGAGACTTGCGCCAATGTAGAATCCAAGCTACACTTCTCAAAGTGCGAAGGTACTTGCTCGTTCGGGGTGGGTCAACAATTTCCTCCACATATTTCGGTTCTTGATTATCAGCTACGGCCATCATCAGCAATTCAGCATCTGTGTCGTTCCTTGGATGCTTCGGCCATTCTACCTCAGGTCGTTTCAACCATTCCGGGCCGCTCCACCAAATCTTGGAGTCAGACAACTGAGCTACCGTCATACCCCGAGTAGGTAAGTC